AATCGGCTGTATGAATAATTTTAAACCACTCTTTTTTAAACGACTTGGTGCAGGCTATATTCTCAACTAAATGTTGAGCAATAGCCGATTCCATATTCATGGGGGGAAGATAGCATATTTTATCTATCTTACCAAGTCGTATTTTGGAACGTACATGCTGATTGATTCTAGTTTCTAAATGCAAGGTTGTACGCCCCACATAACCAGCAGCACACTGGCAATTAAACTCATATACTAAATTACTCAATTTGATGTAGGGCAATACATCCTTGCGAAAAGACGGAAACGCAGACCTAGTTCGAAAAATGCTACGTAAAGCAACTGATGGGAAACAACCGGAAACCGACTTGCTAACCTGCTTAATTAAGCCCTGACCCCTATCCCCAATCCGGGGAATCTTCAAATACACCGGACATTTAGAAGGCCCCTGGACTTTAGGGGAATGAAATTCCTTAGTCTTCTTACTAATAATGTAGTTAATAAGGGCCCCCGGGTAGCCGTTACTAAGGAAAATCTCCCTAATGTTTTCAAATTCACGGTCCAATCTAATAGGAGGACAAATTTTAAGCGCTCTATACTCCAAGGTTTTAACAAGATTGATTTTCCTTGATGCAGGAGCAAATGAACGCCAATTCAAATAGAGACCCGTAAAGGTGGGTTTACGATAGATGCTTGTAAAAAAACCACCACCTCTGCGCTCAACAAAAACGTCCAAAAGGCAGACAGTTGTCCTTCTCCTTCCATAGTGAAGGACAAACCATTGTGTAAGGAGTTCAGCTCATTAAAGAACTCAACAGCCTCACTTTCATTAGAAAAAGTTGCAAAAGTGTCATCGACATACCTGACATAAACAAACGGTTTAGACACTTTGCCGAAAAGTAACATCTCGTGGTAGCCCACAAAAATATCAGCCAATGCAGGGCCAAGGGGACTGCCCATCTGGACCCCATCAACTTGACTATACATAACATTATCCAAACTAAACTCCACTGAACTGGTACATAGTATCATAAGTTCTATAAATATATCCTTAGGAAAAGGAGGTGGAGTAATGTTACCTTTGTATAAAAAGTCTGCACAGATATTAATAGTTTCCTTTAATGGTACGTTGGTAAACAGACTGGACACATCAAAAGAACACACAAAATCAGTATCAGGGCAAGACTGTATGGCTTGTAAGCGTTCAACAAACGTGAACGAATCAGGTATACAATGTTTAGCAAAAAATGTTTGGACCGGTTGTATGACCTGCAGAAGCCATTGAGCCAAAGAATGTTGGGATGAACCAATCATTGAATGTATTGCTCTCAATAGAACGTCCTTCTTATGAACTTTAGGAAGACCATAAAGCCTTGGTCTAAGGGAACCAGAAAGTCTAATCCTGTCATAAGTCTCCTTAGAAAAGTAACATTCAGACGTTTCTGAATTTTAGTTTCATTTCTGTACGTGTTCCAAAATGCGACTTGGTAAGATAGATAAAATATGCTGTCTCCCCCTCACCCATGAATATGGAATCGGCTATTGCTCAACATTTAGTTGAGAATATAGCCTGCGCCAAAGAGTGGTTTAAAATTATTCATACAGCCGATTCCAACAATCATTTGAAGATTTTGGAATCGGTCTGTTTCGGATTAAGGAAACCTTCTCTCTGCCGGCAGAAAGAATTTGTAAAGTCTCTTAATCTGTTGGGGGATATTTTTTTTTAATTGTCCATCGCTAATTTATTTACACGTTATTTCCCCTCCCCTCGTTGCAAGTATATACACTTGTTTGTTATTTTAGTGTGTTCCCCCCCTCTTTTTGCTCTTCATTGTCGTTAATATTCTTTTCGTTGATTAATTATCCAACGATTGTCTCCTGATGAGATGTTGGTTGAAAGGGCCTTAGAGACTTTTAAAATTAAAATCAATACATTCCTTGTTTTTAAAACTATATATATATATATATATATGTGTGTGTGTGTGTGTGAGTGTGTGTGTGTGTGTGTTTGGTTGACTAATATATATATATATATATATATATATATATATATATATATATATATAAATTAAATAAAAACAGACCACTTTTAAGGTTCCATGTTTAAATTATTTGCTCTGGATTTACATTGAGCTCTCTGGATTTTATCCTCTTAGGTTTACCCATACGGATTACCTATTTTTTCAAAACTAACTAACTAACTAACTATATATATATATATATATATATATATATATATATATATATATATATATATATATATATGTATGGATAATGAAGACAGGACCATTAATTGTGGCGTAACTTCGAGATAAATGAACCAATATTGTGAACATATTTTCCCCATAAAACTGGGCCAAACATCCTAATATATTTATATATATATATATATATATATATATATATATAGAAAGAGAGAGAGAGACGGACAGACAGAGAGACAGAGTGAGAGTGTGAGAGAGAATATCAAATCATTATTATTGTATTTGAAATCGATTGCAACCCTTATTGCACAAAAACGCACAACCTTAAAATTTAAATTCAAACTCAGCGTTGCGACCGCACGTTCCAAAACAAATACACATTTCTCATAGCATTTTTTTCGGATTACATCTATATTTTCATTGTCCTCTTATTACCGAGAAGTAAAAAACAAGAACAAATCTATTTCCATACCTGACGATGTCTGTAGGAACAGACTAAAGCTTTTAAAAACTAAAAAAACCCTTATGAAACTGGAATTTACAAACAGGGATCGTATCATTCATATACAGGTTTCGGGTTAGTGTAACTTATTGAAATTGTTTGCGAAGATGTATTCTCGCCATTTAAATCATTAACCTCTATATTTGTTTTTTTATATGAATGATTCATGAATTCATATATATATATATATATATATATATATATATAATATTTTTACAGCAAAAAAAACAAAAATTCCCTCAACATTGGATAGTCTATTTCAAGCCGTTCTGTACGCGGCTTGAAATAGACTCACACATGTTGTAATTTTTGTTTTTTTGCTATACAAAATCTATATTCACTGTTATAATAAATACATCGAGCTCTCTATGGATCAATTTTAATAATTAATTTTACTAGGATCCACCCGGATTATATAACAACGGATCGATTAATTAGTATATATATATATATATATATATATATATATATATATATATATATATATTAGGAAAATTAATGACAAAGTATAAACATTTTGTGCACGTGTGACGCGTTTCGTCCATACATATTTCATCGGATAAAAATAATGTTCCCGTTGATGTAATTTATATACGTATAAAAGTAGATATGTATTTTCTTACATTTATGTTAATTACCTTAACACAAACATAATTTAAGTCCGATGAAGTCCTCAGTGACGAAACGTTAATTTTTTTTTTTTTTTTTTTACAATTTTTCCGGTATTGCTCTGATATATAAAATGTACATATATATCATATTTTCCCATGTATATATATATATATATATAATTATTATATATATATATATATATATATATATATATATATATATATATATATATATGCATAATATATATATATATATATATATATATATATATATATATATATATATCAGTGAGAACGAAAGTAATATATAAATTCTAGCTTTCACAGCATTAATCCAAAAGAGGGCTTGATACTGATCGTAGAGCAATAATTATTTATTATAATTTTATCATATAGACAAAAACAGTTTACTCACTACAAAGATGCAACTTCGTTTCGGTGCATTTCAATTGCACCTCGACGGGTGATTTAGAAATTAAATATAAGTAGAAAAATATTTAAAACTTTATAGGACATTAATATGACTTTTATAATCTAATTTTGACCTATTCTCGGACAGTATAACGTGTAGAATAAATATGGGTGTAAAACAATTTATCTGAAAGTATTACTAGTAATATATATGAAAAAAATTAAGAATCATAATCTAAGATAAAGTAGTGGAGAGGTATATAAGAGGATAGGAAGTATATCAAAGGAGGTGAGTTATAATTTTAAACGTTTAGAGTTAGGCATTAAACATTTAGAAAGATTGTAATTATAAAAGTTATATTAATACCCCATACTTTTTTTAAATATATTTTTCTTTTTCCAGTTTTCAAAGCGATAAGTGATACCTTACGCACACGTTGCCATCTATCTATATTCATTGAAAAATTAATCAGTCATGGCTAATTGATAAGCAATAGTGCGTCATCATCAAAGGCAACGCTGAAAGAAAATTTCGTAACATCTTCATCACAGAATCCATGGTTTAAGAACACATTCATAGTGATTTTCCAAGCGTAGCCCAGATGTAGCACAAGGCCTAAAGTACGGGGCACCCAGTAAGGATCGAACTCGCTACTCATTCGTAATTGTTCTAGCGAGACAAGTTTGCTAGCCATTACACCACCTCGAGGTGTCCCATTGATTTTCCAAGAGTAGCTTAGATGTGGCACAAGGCCGAATGTAGGGGGGGGGGCACCCAGTGAGAATCAAACTCACTAATTAGTTGCAATTGCTCTAGCGAGACAAGCTTGCTAACCATTACACCAGATCGAGGTACCCTTTATTTGCCAAGCCTAGCTCAGTTGTGGCCCAAGGCCGAAAGTATGGGGCACCAGTGAGGATCGAACTCACTACTCATTCCTAATTGTTCTAGCGAGACAAGTTTGCTAGCCATTTCACCACCTCGTAGTACCCCATTGATTTTACAAGCGTAGTTTAAATGTGGCACAAGGCCGAATGTAGGGGGCACCTAGTGAGGATCGAACTTACTACTTAGTCGTAATTGTTCTAGCGAGACAAGCTTGCTAACGTCGAGGTGCTCCTAAAAGATTTTCTAAGCGTAGCTCAGATGTGGCACAAGGCCGAAAGTACGGGGAACCCAGTAAGGATTGAACTCACTATACATTGATAATTGTTCTAGCGAAAGAACACACCCATAACTTGAAAGGCGTATTATACAGTAAGCTATATTATTGACGCTTGCAGGGACATCACGTTGAAACACCGGCTCTCGAACAATCACCGAAGTTAAGCAATCTCGAGCCGAGTCAGTACTTTGATGAGTGACCTACTTGGAAATAGCAGGTGTTATAAGATTCGATGTGATTGTAGTGTGTAATGAATACTGGCACCGAATTGAAATTGATATTTAAAAATCTCTTTTACCCCAGGCAAGGCGATAAAGCCACTAAGACACAAGTGATTACAGTATATGGATGAATTAGGGACAGAAACATTAATAACGAATGGCAAGAGAAAAGAGTATTCAGTAGAAAGCGATTGCCATTGCATTTCAATTTTGGGAGATTAAAGTTTGCTAAAATTGTCCAAATCTTGTAACAGCATAATTGTCCATCCCACAAAATGTTTAATATCGAAAAAAAAAAAAAACCTAAACTAATTGAGCTTCTTTTCCCCAGTTATTCGGATAAGATGTTTAGCCATCTTGACACCATTTTTCATAAGAATCACTAAAAAAACCTTTGAGTTATTCAGCTGAAAATAGAACATGGTAAAATCGTTTTGTGTCTGACCAACTGTCTTCCCAACAGAGAAGTGGTGAGAGGAAAAACATCATTCAGATCTTCAGTAATGGTACGAATACTCATACTCGGGCTTCCATTGGACAATTTTGATTTTACACGATTTGGACAATATTGCAGCAGCATGGCCCGGCGTTGCCCGTGCTTGATTCAAAAATCGTACGACTCATACAGCAATCGCTATCACATGAATTAAAATATTTGTGCCCTTCCTTGCCTTTAAAGGAGTGCCCTTTGCCGTGCTGATGTTGCTACATGCCTTACTTCTTGCCTATCTCACACTGTGTATTTTTTCTAAGCTCTATACTAAACATTAAATCTGTTACGAAAAAGAACTAAACAAAATGAACACAAAACGATCAGCTTTAAAAAAGGACTCGTAACCCGAAAAAACCGAATGAATAAAGAATGTTAACAACAAATACTTTTTCACACCCAACCCAGTTCTGCGGAATCAGAATCCACGTTGAGTTTAAGCAAGCGAATGAGCCAATTGGAGTAATGTGCCATGCAGATTAAAATTTTTGCCACTTGTGACGAATGCAGCTATCGATGCTAGTTTAGATTCGTGTCAGTCAGCTGTTGGCTCTCACGCTGGCCAATAGAATCTTCCTGCCTATTCGTGGCAGCCAGCTATTGGCTCTCACTCTGGCCAGTACAAAATGGCCGAAAACTACATGAAAACTGCCATAGAAGCATAAAAAAAATCGATTATTTCCACTATCGATGGGAGTTGGGAAATGCAATATCGGTCTTGGCCTTCTCGCTAACTTGTAAATTTTGGTGCAATCCGTCGAAAATTGCAGCCGTGCATTCTTTACACGCGCACACACATACTACCTATTATAGGTAGAGATTATATATATAAATATATAATACACTGTTACATTAGGACATTTAAACTTCGAAACAAAATGTACTTTTGTAGTAGTTACGTACATGTTCTAATGTATAATAAATATTTATTGCTCTACTGTGGTATTGAGCCCTGGTTTGAGGCAATGCTTTGAACATGGTAACTTTATTCTTCGTCCCTTTACACGCAAACACATATATATATATATATATATATAATCGACTCTCCCGTCGCGTTCGACGTATGAGGGTCAGGCCGATAAGTCCCCAGGAAACCAACATCCCGACAGCGGCACATGAGATGTGTTTTTAGTGGTGGAGGGACGAATACAGAAACCTGGTGCACCGACTGCATGCCACAAGGTTCCCAAACGACCCTCCGCAGGTTTTGAATTCAGAGTTGTCCTTCTCCTAGACTAGTTGCCATCCAAGGCTATAGATATAGTCTGTCCTGCTATTTTACCCATAGCTGGAGGGAGATGAAGAGGATACATACCTTTCCCAAGGGTATTAGCACGTAAGTGAATGCAGTGGATTCGACTGGATTCCTCAATCCAAGCCGCTAACCACTGCTCCACCGTGCCTATATATAGTACAGGTAATCGATACGTTGGTATATAATCCGGGTGGATCCTAGCAATATTAATTATTAAAACTGATCCACAGAGAGCTCGAAGTTTTTATTTTAACAGAGCATATGTCTTTTTTACAGCAAAAAAAAAAAAAAAATACTAAAAAATGGCCTCAGATGTTGAGGTAATTTTTTGTTTTTTTGATATATATATATATATATATATAAACTATAATTTATATGTTTATATACATATTTCTAAGTCAATTATTCATCCATGCTTCGTGTACTGCTGCTCCCTGTAGTCTGGGACTTCTGTTGTGTATTTCGAGATTCTTATAAAATCCAAAGAAGATTCTACAATGTTATTGGCCATGAACTAGTGAGTCGGCTTGAGTCATATTCCAACCAACGTAACTTTTCTGTTCCTTGTCTACAAATATATTCATGGTAATTTATCTGATGAGCTATTCTCTTTGGTACCTAGACTTTATGAATTTAAGTGCAGTACTACACTGGTGACGTCTCATCATTTTACAGTAGGGTAGATGTAAATATAAGTTCTATACAAACAGTAATTTTTAACTCCCGCACTTCTCGCATGTGGAACTCTCTGACGCCTTCTTGCTTCTCAATTAACTGTGATGTTCAAAAATTTAAATGCAATGTCAATCGTTATCTTCTTGATACCTGTTCTTTTATTGTTCACTGTCTTTACAAATTTTTTTTCTTTTTCTTATTTCTTTCAAACTTAGCAACTCCTTGCGTCTTAGGGGCTTTATTGCCTTGCTTGGGGAGAAGAATTCTCGCTCCCAACTCGTCCTAACTCGATCAAGGAAATTAAAACATTTTGCTTGCATAAGTATGTTTTTCTTGATTTCATATATATTGTCTCGATGACTTTTAAGTGATAGTCGAAATATGACCCGTTCAAAACTGCGAACCTATCCTCTGGGAAGAATAAGGCACACACCCCTTATCCCTTAAAAAGTATATATTTAAATGTTACTCACTTAATATAGTTTTCTTTTTTTCTACATATTTTCTCACATTTAGTAATCCCTGGCTTCTTAGTGGCTTTGATGCCTTGCTTGCAATGAAATGATAAAAAAAATTGCATTTTCACCAGTGACGAGCCTAAAATGGTTGGTTGATTGGTTTGGTTTGGTTTGGTTTGTTTTACGGCATTCAACCTCAGTGGGTTATTTAATGCCGACAAGACTTTTATTGCTGGTTTTTTTTTTCAAAAATACATTGCTGGTAATAATTTTTCTTCAAAATTTTATTGCTGGTAATAATTTTTACAAAGTATTTCTGGTATTAAAAACTATTTTTACACTTTCATAGTGTTTTGACCCCAGTTTAAGGGTTAACTATTTGCCCACAGCAGGGGCCCTAACGCGTGCTGCCACCCCGGGTCAGGGTGGACCTGGGAACACCAGCAATTAAAAGGGAGTTTCACTCTCCCCATACCCTTCTGATCAGAGTCCTTGCTGTTAGACGTAGTTTATCGTCTTACCCAGGACGCGGATATAGTTTATCGACCATACTCAGGACGTGGATGGTTGATTTTGTTTATAGCATATCAACACTTCTATGGGTTATTTAATACCGAAATCTAAATATTTTGTACGTATATTCAGGACAAAAGTATATAAATTTTAGATATATATTTTGTCGGTGAGAAAATGCATTGTTGATAATTTTTAATGCATTGCTGGTAATTTCAATGCAATAATCTATAGTTGATTATTTTTTTTCTAAAAAATGTACTGGTGGTACTTTTATTATACAAAATATTTTTATACTTTCTCAGTATTGTATTGATTAGTCATTTTGCAATAAAAATCTATTGTTGGTCATTTTGCTATAAAATTGCACTGTTGATTTTTGTTTGAGATTTCACTGTTTACCCATAGCTGGGACCCTAACAGTTGTAACCACCCCCGGTCAGGGTGGGCCTGGAAGAAACAGCAGTTATGAGGTGATCCCACGCGCTTCAAAGCCTCTAATCTTCCGATCATAGGTGTTGCTGCCGGATGTAGTTTATCGTCATACCCAGGACGGACGAACAAGCGACTGCATAACAACTATGACAGAGTAGAATATACGTCCTGAAAGCATATGCCTTCTATTTATTTTCCTTGTAAAATTGTAAAGTTGTAGTAACAGGAAGAGGGAGCATGATAACACCTCCGGATAGAGCAAGTTTTCAGTGATAAAACACCATTTTTCCGTTATAATTACCATCATTCAAATCGCTAGGGCAATCAGTTCACTATAACACATTGCGTGAAGCATAGGGCCTGGTGCTATAAAATAAAACTACAACACATATCAATTCGGTATTTAATCTCCTTCGAAGTAGACCCCTTCCGAAGCCACACACATCCAGCTTCGTTTACATTGGTAGAACCATTACTGGAACTCCATTTTTGGGATAGCGAACAGCTGCCACTTCGCATTCATTTGAATTTACACGGCGTCATGAAATCTGGTTCTTTTCAGGGGGGGATTCGATTTTTGAAGAGATAAAAAAGAAATCTCAAGGGGCGGAATCTGAGGAATATGGTGGTTGTCGAACCTGGGGAATGTAGTCCTTGGCCAAAAACTGCTACACAGACCATAGTCACTGTTGGAACTTCCTTAGTAAAAAACTCTACACACTTTCCTTCAAAGTATTCTAGAAGAATGTTCTGCTTGAGAAAATTTCAATCTGTGCCAAGCACTATTTAGCTTCGTTGCCATAACAAAAATCCGGATAATTTTTTTTATCAAACCTCTTATTACTGAGAGAGGCTCAAAAAGTCTAGCAAGTATCAATAAAACTGAATAAATCATGTTCTGAATCATGTTGATTGATTAATTGATTGGTTTGTTTTTTACGGTTTATCACCCCTTCTTGTAGGTTATTTAAAGCTGAAACATTTTCTAATTGTAAAAATATTTTGAATGTTTTTAAAAAAATAAATCTAGATATAAGTTCTACTGTTTAACCCATAGCTGAGGGTAGAGGACAGACCGTTACTTTTTCTAAGGATATGCTTAAGTGAATGTTAAAATTCGAACTGTGTCTTCGATTTCACATTCGATGCCGATATCGATTATATTACCAGCACGG